CTGGGTAATTCTGGGCAAGTTATCAAATCTCTCTGGGTCTTTACTTGCAAAATGAGGCTAATCAGTACCACCCTCCTAGGGCCATTATGAGAATTCAATTAAGTTTTCTTAATGTAAAATGCTTGTCTGGTACAATAATCTCTCAGAAAGTGTTTACTAACATTTTTATTATTCTTTGTAGAAGCAGTTACTGCTATTGAAAGCTAGATCATTAGTGTGCAAGTAAACTTCTACTAGTTTACAATATAAATATTTTTATAATCCTTTAATGTGATCCATAATGAGTATTACTCTAACTAAAAATAGTACTAACTAGCCAGGCGCGGTGGCTCACGCCTGTAATCCCAGCACTTTGGGAGGCAGAGGGAGAGGATTACCTAAGCTCAGGGGTTCAAGACCAGCTTGAGCAACATGGCGAGATCTTGTCTCTGCAATAAATAAAAAAATCATCTGGGCATGGTGGCACACACCTGTAGTTCCAGCTACGTGGAAGGCTGAGGCAGAAGGATCACCTGAGCCCAACAGGTTGAGGCTGCGGTGGCCATGAGCGTACAACTGCATTCTAGTCTGAGAGACAGAGTGAGACTCCAACTCAAAATAACTAAATAATAAATAATGGTACTAAATTTTTAGAGACTAAATTCTGAGAACTGACTGAAATCAAGTTTGGATTCTATCACTAACTAGCTGTGTGATCTTGGGCAAGTTTCTTAACCTTGTTGAGTCTGTTTTCTTAAATGAGTGTATACATGTACAGACTTAGAAGAGTACAAATGGTAAGCATTTAATAAATCTGATTATTCTATTATTACCAAAATATTGACTATCATGCCCTCAAGTTGTAAAAGTACACATATCTTTTAGGCCTTTGATTAACATCCTAAGTAGCTTTCCTAACAAGCTAAAGCAGCTTATACTCACATAGATAATTCATGAGAATGCAAGGTTTACTACATTCTTAATTGATACAACCACTAAAAACCCCTTTTGCTGGTTAGATAGGACAAATATAGTCACTTATTACTATGTGGTTTACATGTTTTAAAAATTACTAGTAGGACCACATATTTTCTCTTTTATTTACTGGTGATCTCTTCTTTTGTCTGTCTGTCCATGGTCTTTGCCCATTTAGCTACTGAAGTTTAAAAAGGTTTTTCTATTTATCAATTTTTAAAAATAAGGATATTAATCCTTTGTCATATTTTCTACAAATTCTTCTTTGCCCTTTTTAAATGCAGAAGTTAAATATATTTAATAAAGTCAAGGTTTTGCCTTTCTTTTTTTTCTAATTCCTTAAATGTAGAAAGTCCTTCCTAGTCAGGGTAGTCAGTAATTTCTCTAATTTTTTTAAAAAACAGGTTGACTGATTTTTATTTATTTATTTTATTATTATTATTTTTGAGTTGGAGTCTCACTCTGTCACCCAGGCTGGAGTACAACAGCATGTTCATGGCCACCACAGCAGCGACATGCTGGGCTCAGGTGATCCTTCAGCCTCAGCCTTCCAAGTAGCTGGAACTACAGGCACACACCACCACGCCTGGCTAATTTTTGATTTAGTGTAGAGTCTTGCCAAGTTTCCAGGCTGGTCTTGAACTCAAGCAATCCTCTCACGTCTGCATCCCAAAGTGCTGGGGTTATAGGCATGAGTCACTGTGCCCAGTCTCCTCCCTTTTTCCCTTTTCAAAGTGATCATACACTTATCTGTTTTATGTTCATAACAAGGTAGGCCAAGAAAATATTTTTGAAAATGTAGAAATTGAAGCACACAAATTTCAATGACTACCAAGTGGCAAAATTATAAATAGTATCCAGATCTTTCAATTCCTCATCATATGTTCTACAAAAATATTTTTAAAAACCCACTGCCATAACCACTAAAGGTTAAACGGCAATCTCCCCTGCATTACTATCCCGCGACCCCTTTTTTTGTCGGGTCACTCTTTCAGTCTCCAAATATAGTGGTTTATTTGCCGCTGAAAACAATACCTGCTTGATCCCATATCTTGTTCTTGCTATAGCTTCAAGGGCTACTTACTGCTCCCTTTGATAGCCAAGCTCCAAGAGAGAGTTGTCAGTAGTGTCTGTCTCCAATTTCCCTGTGCTTTGTCTTCTATAAACTTTAATTTATCTTATGCCCTCACTGTTCTCTTTAAACTGCACCTGTTAAGGTCATCAAGGAGCTTCATCTTACTCTCTTCAATTTCTTGGCCCTCATCTTACTTGACCTGTCAGAAATACTAGACACAACTGATGACTTTTTTTTGAGTTTGAGTCTCACTCTGTCACTCAGACTGGAGTGCAGTGGCTGCTCCCGGCCACCGCAGCCTCAACCTGCTGGGCTCCGGCGATCCTTCCGCCTCAGCCTTCCAAGTAGCTGGAACTACAGACGCGTGCTACCACAACTGGCTAATTTTTTTGATTTATTGTAGAGATGAGGTCTCACCAAGTTGCCTAGGCGGGTCTCAAACCCGTGGGCTCAGGCAATCCACTCACCTCAGCCTCCCAAAGCGCTGGGATTACAGGCTGAGCCACCGAGCCCAGCTTCTAGTTATTAATATACTTTCTTTACTTGGCTTTCAGGACATTACATGTGGTCAGTTTTTCTTCCTCTATACTTGCTGTTTGTTCTAATTCCCTTTGCTGGTCATCTCCTTGACCTTGACATGCTATAGTGCCCAGGGCTCAGTCCTTGGATCCCTATTCTAGCTTCACTCACTCCTTTAATGATACCATTTGGTCTCACGACTTATAAATCTACCAACTTTCACATTTATATCTTCAGCCTAGTCTTCTCCTTGAATACTAGACTTTAGGGTGCAACACCCCTCTCAACATCTCCACTTACATATCTTACAGGCATCCCACATCCAACATGTCCAAAACTGCCACCTTAATGTTTCCTCAAAAACCCATTCCTCCCAGACTTCCCATCACTATAAAAAGCAATGACTTGTTTGGGGTTCCTCAGACCCATAACCATAGTATAAATCAGCCTTTGCTCATCTTTTTCCCACACCTATTATTCAAACCACAGGCAAATCCTACTATACCTACTTTCAAAATGGGTCCAGAATCTGACCCCTTCTCCCATTGCTATCACTTCCGTCCAAGCCACCATCCTATTCTATCTAGATTATGGAACAGCCTCCTAACTATTCTTTTTGTTTCCACCTTTTCTACTGTACAGTCTATTCTCAACACAGAGCCAGAGTGACCTTTCAAAAATGTTTGATATTGGCCGGGCATGGTGCCCCACGCCTGTAATCCCAGCACTTTGGGAGGCCAAGGTGAGAGGATTGCCTAATCCTATGGGTTCGAGACCAGCCTAGGCAACTTGGCAAGACCTCATCTCTAAAATAAATTAAAAAATTAGCTGGGCATGGTGGCACGTACCTGTAGTTCCAGTTACTTGGAAGACTGAGGTGGAAGGATCACCCGAGCCTAGCAGGTTGAGGCTGCGATGGCCATGAGCGTGCCACTACACTCCAGTCTAGGTGACAGAGTGACATTCCTACTCAAAAAAAGTCTGATAATATTATTCCTCTGCTCAAAACCCACAAATGACTTCATATCCCACAGTTTAAAAATCTCACCAGGTTTGGTGGCTCAGCCTGTAATCCCAGTACTTTGGGAGGCCGAGGCAAGTGCATTGCCTGAGCCTGCAGGTTTGAGAACCACCGGGCAACTTAGTGAGACCTCGTGTCTACAATAAATAAAAAAAAAATTAGACAGGCATGGTAGCATAAGCCTGGAGTTCCGGATACTTGGAAGGCTGAGGCGGAAGGATCGCCAGAGCCCAGCAGGTCAAGGCTGCGGTGGCCAGGAGCGTGCCACTGCACCCCAGTCTGGGTGACGGAGTGAGACTCCAACTCAAACAAAACAAAACAAAACAAAACAAAACAAAACCTCAAGTCTACACAGTTCCCTGTAAGTCCCTCTATGACCTCATCCCCAGTTGACTTCTCTGGCCTCACCTCCCGCTTGTCCCCTTGTCCACTCCACCCCAGTCTCACTGGCCTTCTTGCTGTTCCTCATACACGCCAGCATGCTCCTCCCTCGGGGGTTTTGCCCTTGCTGCTCCCTCTACAAACAACATTCTTCCCTCAGATCACTTCTTTACTTCTTTTGGTCCCCAAATGCTACAATCTCAGAAAGCATTTCTGACCTGATATTTAAAATCCAACCATCTCCTCATATCAAACATGCTCCTGTGCTGCTTTACTTTTCTCCTCAGCATCCAGTCACTACCTTACACTTCAATGTCCTATTTATTCAATACTTGTCTTCCTCCTACTAGAAAGTAAGCCGCATGAGGGCAGGACTTTTTGTCTGGTTTGGACACTACTCTATCCTCAACATTTAGAACAGTACCTGGCATATAACTGGTGCTCAATATGTTTTAAATGCATGAATAAAAGATCAAAGAAATGACTAAATGAACAGCGACATAAATGTTAATGATTGGCAACAGATGCAAGAAGTGATATGTACAGGATGCTGAGGCCATATCAGCTTAGAGGGAAAACAATATGCCTGATTATCAATGTGGCATTCAGGTATTCACCACCTAAGAATTCATCTGAAAATGTATGTAAAATGACATAAGCAAAAATATGACATAAACTAGTTCACAGTACAGAGGTATAATTATGTTCTGTAAGGCTCTTCACACAGATTTTGTTAGCAAAGACTAGTAAACAAAATGAATGACAGGCTAAGCAAAACTCATGAAAAGCTACATTTAAATATAATTAGGGAATAAAACAGACAAACAGTATTTCAGAGAATGTAAGAGGCTGTCTTTCACCTTTTTGAAAGTAGGTTTACTTTGAGAACAATCTAAAACATCTTTCTTACATGTTCTACAATATCCTGTTTTTTAACATCTAAAATTACCTTTCACTAAAAAATAGTTTAAAAACCATTAATCACACAATCTTTTCACCATTACAGAATACATTATTTTTTGTGATTAGTTATGAATACATGGCACTCACACTCTGTTTCATGCTTATAGGCTCCTAACGTTAGCTGACGAGATGTTGTTAATAATTGCTGCATCATTGCTGTTGGATCTTGAAATATCTGATGGAAGAGTGAAAAAAAATCCAATAACTTCAAACTTCTCCAACTTAAAATACTTTAAAAACTCTCATTATAAAATTTTCTTACCATTTCATCATAGAACTCTGAAACCACTGTTTTTTTCCCTAGCATTGCATTGGTATCAGATTGAAACAGCTTTAGCAAATGATACAGGGTAACCTGTAAAATAAAAATAGATGTCACATCTGTTCAACGGTTTTTATCACATTCAAGACACTGTCATTTCCTTAACTGAATTAGAGGCTGGCATACACAGATATATCAAATTCATGATCTTGTTTCAAGTGAAACTTATCGTGGAAAATCACCCAAACTCTCTGTACTTTTATTTTCCTGTTAGGTGCCACTATCCATCTACATCTTCTAAACACGAATGTTCTGAACAGGGTCATTAAGGATCTGTTCAAGCATATCCAGAGAGTAACTACATGTAAAAATAACATAAGCTATAGCTATGAAAATTAAACTGGAAAATCACTAAAACATCAATTATTTCACTCATACAAATGAAACTGGATTAATTATAACAGTTGTCTTTGAAGATTAGAGTTCACAAATTTAATGTGGGGGAAATAAGATTTGGTATTTCAAAAGGAATGACCAACATTAAAATACTCAGCAAGAGCAAGATAACCTCTTTGAAGATCTACAAAATTAATACATAAACAACAAACAAAAAGTTGGTTAGTAATAATTCACTTTGGCAAGAGCAACATGTCTTCCAATACTTAAACACAGGTGTCCTTGGCCAGGCATTGTGGTTCTTGCCTGTAATTCTCAGCACTTTAGGAGACTGAGGCAGGAGGACTGACTGAGCCTAGGAGTTCAAGATCAGCCTACACAACATAGTGAGACTTCATCTCTATAAAAAAATTTAAAAATTAGCCAGGCATGGTGGCATGCACCTGTAGTTCCAGCTGCTTAGGGACTGAGGCGGAAGGATCGCCTGAGCCTAGGAGGTCGAGGCTGTGGTGAGCTGTGATCATGCCACTGCACTCCAGCCTGGGAGACAGAGTCAAACCAAACCAACTCCAAACAGGTGTACTAAGACATCAAAGGAAAAGCTTTGCAGCACTATGTGTGATTATTTCAGCAAAATAAAATCTAGTTGGCCAAACATCAGAGTTCACGTTGAAGTTGTAGAAACCAATTCAGAGGTCTCAAAGAATTTTCCAAAAAGTTAAATCATTATAAGGGAATGCTATTCTTCAAAACACTCATGAAATAGGGAACAAGGAAGGATATGCTGAAGAAATCAGAAAAAATAAAAATTCTTGTAACTGAATTTGAACAAGCATCAACTCCCCTTAAAGACAATCTAGTTCAGTTTATATAAATGTTAGATTTCCCTGGACATGGCTCAGCAAACAGAAGCATTCTATTTAAAGGATACTTAGTGCACCAGGTTCAAGGTGGTGCACCAGGAATACAGAAAAGGGACAAGGGAAAACACACAGAACTCCATTAAAGTACCAGTAAAGACAGACAATCTAAATATGGGAGAGCGTGAACTATATATGAATTTAAGCAGATAATTTGACAAATTTCTGAAACAGACAGAAAGCAGATGAGGGTACCAGGAAGGATGATAAACCACAACAGAGAAAAAACCACAACAGAGAAAAACCTCAACCTGAAAACTTAAGGAAGAAAACTGCATGAGAGATGGGAGCCAGAGCTCCTGGGAGTCCCAGGGAGTCTCCAAGCTCAGAGTTAGCAGGTGCTGAAATCAGAAATGCTATGGGGTGCTGTGCCTGGGCGGTCTCTCTTCCCTCCACTTATAGGTAAGAAAGCATATCCTCCCCTTTGGTACCTAGAATTTTTTATCCCAACAATCATGTATGAAGGAAAAATAAGAACATTTTATTTTTAGATGGGCAATGGCTCTGAGAGTTTATTTCTCAGGCATCCTTTCTGAAAAAATTCCTTAAGCAAAATGAAAAAAGAAACTTGAAAAGAGGAAGAAATGGATTATCTGCACGCCTTAGAGAGAGCACCAAAAAAAACAAAAATAAAGGATCATCTGTCATCATTAGGAGTTGAAACATATTAAAGTAGAGAAATCCAAAATTAGGGGTTTAAATATATGAGACACATGGGAGTGATTTCTAGAGGAACTGAAATTAGGTAACTGTTAAAAAAGTGGTTTTCCAGGAAAGGAGTCAACAAAGATGGGGGAAAAATGTTATGGGCTGAATTGTGAATCCCCCAAAAGAAATGTTTTGAGTTGGCGTCTCACTCTGCTGCCCAGGCTGAAGTGTGGTGACAGGACCATGGTTCACTGCAGTCTTGACCTCCTGGGCTCAGGTGATCCTTCCACCTCAGCCTCCCAAGTAGCTGGTACCACAGGTACACACCACCATACCCGAGTAATTTTTTGATTATTTGTAGAAATGAGGTCTTATGTGTTGCCCAGGCTGGTCTTGAGTCTTCCTGCCTCTGCCTCCCAAAGTTCTGGGATTATAGGCATAAGCCACCACACCTAGCCTGTTTTTGTTTTTTTGAGATGGGGGTCTCACTATGTTGCCAGGCTAGTATCAAACTCCTGGGCTCAAATGAACTTCCTAGCTCAGCCTTAAAAGTAGCTGGGGCTGTAAATATTTGCAAAAGATATGCTAAAATTCTAACTTTTAGTACTTGTGAATGTGACCTTATTTGGAACAGATGTAATTAAGTTAAGATAAAGTCATCAGGGTGGGTCATAATTCAGTATAACTGGTGTCCTTAGATGAGACAAGGAGAAAGATAAGGCCATATGACAATGGAGGCAGAGACTGGAATTATGCTGCCAAAAGTCAAGGTATACCTGGCACTACCAGGACTCAAAGAGCCAGGGAAAGATCCTCCCCTAGAGGCTTTGGGAAAAACACGGCCAACACCTTGATTTCAAACTTTTAGCCTCTAGAACTGTGAGAATAAATTTCCATTGTCTTAAGCTACCCTGTGGGTGGTACTAGGAAACTAATATAGGAGATTTGCACTTTTTATTTTAAAAATCTTATTTTAAAACCATGTGTACACCTGACTTGTATAATCAAAAAAATTTTTTACAATTACATTCTAAAACTGTCCTTCTCTGTTTATCATTCAGACTTCCAGAGGCATTCATAAGATATAGGGCAATAAAAAAATTTCAAAAACAGATGTCCCTAATTTTGGACAATGTTTAAAAATTCTTTTTTTTTTTTTGAGTTGGAGTCTCACTCTGTCACCTAGACTGCAGTAGAGTGGCACGCTCCAGGCCATCACAACCTCGACCTGCTGGGTTCCGGCAATCCTTCTGCCTCAGCCTTCCAAGTAGCCGGAACTACAGGCGCGCGCTACCACGCCCAGCTAATTTTTTATTTATTGTA